TTGTTGACGGTTGGTCTTTGTTGAGAGTGTTATGATGTGTCTCTTGATGTTCCATCTCTTGGTTTTAAAATGATACATACTGTATTCCTCTGTCTCAAATGGTTTTCCAATATCTATATATTATGATACTTAATGCGTATTGGTGGGTTACCAGCATCTCTCGCTGACGGGTGTTATCCCTATGTTTTTACAGGTTTTGAGTAGCTTTTGGAGAGCGCGCTAGTGGACCGTTAGATAGTGTAGCTCTTTATGTTTTCCCTTGTTTAGACTTATGGCCTGTGTGCCTTATTTCCTATGACTCGTTGAGATTTTGGTTTAGACTTAGCATGTGCACCTATGTTGAGATAGGTGTGGCATAGCACCTCCGTATTTAGACTTTGCTTCCGCTTTATCTTAATGGATGATTAACTTGTTTTTCCTTTAATTTAAACTTTTAAATTTTGGTAAAATCGGAGGTGTTACACAACAGTATAAAATGTCATCAAATACCAGTTTTCTTCTTTTCCATAATGCAACCCGCAGTCGAAAATAGAGAAAAATATTAGTATCCACAATCCATTTTATTTAATGTGTTTGTTTATGAAAAATAGAGAAAAATTGAATTAAATTGAATTAATAATAAACTGCTCCAAAGAAATTAATTCTATTTAGTAAAGATCCCATACTATCCTTTTCAAGTCTGTGAGGTTACTCAGCTCCCACACTAATGATTCAAATACACTTCAATACCTTTACTGATCATTTACCTGATGAAATTGGTGGAAGTAGAGGGAACACACACCGTGCAAACTACTTTCTCCTGTTCATGAGACAATGTCTTAACATTATACAGATGAGTACGTGATGTTAAAGTAAACCTCAAAACTATCAATTTGTACTACAAATCGTAGAGCTATAGTTAATACGGAGTAACATTTACCTGGGAGTTATGGAGCACTCCAGTGTCTGTTGGTTTACTGAGGAATGTGGATATTTCCTGGACAAATAACAATGCATCAACCAGAGCCTTGTACAACTTTTTGAACAATATTAGTAAAAGAACAATGTTGTTGTTTACGATTTGAAGAATCGAAAAGAAAGTATTGTTGTTTAAAATTTGCAGTTCAAAAGTATATGGGGATGTTTCGATTTGCGTTTTTTATAGGAGGTATTGTTGTATTGTATTACGAATAGGAATTTTAATGTAAAGTACAAATAGGAATAAAAATAATATTGTTGACTTGGAGTAGTTTAAGAAAATTTCAATTTTAATATTGTATTACGAATAGGAAAGTAGGAAACAATATATTCTATTAGGACTATTTTACAATATTATAATAGGAATTTAAAGGTAGAATTATAGTATGAATAGGAAAATACTTTTTTACAATATTAAGCAAATCTTATATTAATAGTATAGGACTCTTTTGGGCGGAAAGTTAAAATGGAGGATTTTGTTTTTATATATAGTATAGATTTTTTTTTGAAAATATATATAGTATAGATTAAATGTACATAATTTGTTAATTGTAATAAGTACATAATTTTATTATCTGTAAGTACATAATTTGTTAATTACAATTACATAATACATTAATTGTCATAGATACATAATTGAGTTAATACCTATTTTGGTCCCTGGACTATTAGGTAATACGCAATTTAGTCTCAAACTATTAAAAGTACCCAATTTGGTCCTCTAAGTTGTAAAATCATACCCAATTTGGTCCTCTGTTACAATTGTCATCCATCCACCGTTATAGAGAGAGACAAAAACGTCATTTAATCTAAAGCCGAGGGACCAAAATGGGTATAAACTATTATTATCTAATAATCGAGGGACCAAAATGGATATTAACTTTATTATTATTATTATTATTATTATTATTATTGTTATTATTATTATTATTGATATTCGTACAATGTCAATTATTATTGTTATTATATTTGATATTGGTACAATGTCTCCTTCCAACATTTTTTTGAAAGCAAAGTTGCGAAATTTTATTACTGGAAATGTGAAATAATAAAATCAGGAGGGATATCGTCCCAAAACATAGTAATATCCTGGTCAGAGACCTTTGAAGCTAGAGTATGAGCAATAATATTTAAACGTCTAGGGATAAAACGTAACTGACATGTAGGAAACTGAGCCATAATCACCCGACACTCATGGACAACATATTACTTCCTATTATTTTAAATACTAAAATGTACCACAAAAAAAAACATGCGGTCTTTCTTTCATTTTTTTCTCTCCCGAGACCCACAAAAAACCACTATCTCTCACGAGTTCAAAATTCACTCTGATCTATCTCTCCTTCTTCTCTATCTTCCAACTCATATTGAACCCCACAAAAAATCATAGATGGGGTTGCTCTTAGTTTAGTTTTGTATATGAAGACTACGGGTGTGCAATCGGTAACTGAACCGTTTTAATCGAAATTTTTAAAACTTTAACCGTTAACCGAACCAAACTTTGTATTACTGAATTAACCGAACAGAAGTTTTTTTCAATTAATCGATCAGTTAAATCCTAAAAATAATACATATAATAATAAATCAATAAGATATATATATATATATATATATATATATATATATATATATTTATTTATTTATTTATTTATTTATTTATTTATTTACTTAAAATTTCGGTTAAGCCATAATTTCGAATCGAATTAACAGTTAACCAAAATTTTAAAAAACCTCTAACCATTAACCGAGTCGAAAAAGTTTAGTTAACAACAGTTAACCGAACTTTGTCGGTTCGGTCGGTTAACCAAACATTTACCGAAGTTTGCAAATCCCTAATCAAGACAAGCATGTGGATCTTACGTACTTTTACAAGATTTCTTTCAAACAATCCAAGTCCGTCCAAGAGCACAATCATTTCACTGCAAATCAAACTATCAAAAGATATCATTATTTTCCGAAAGGACTAAATTAAAGAGTGGGCAAGTGAGTGGAGCATTATTTGAAGATCATTATAGAATTCAATTTTTTTCAGCACTCTCTCAATTTTTTTGCACATATAAACTAATGATTGCGAATTTTTCTCGTTACAAAAAAAAAAAAAAAAAAAAAAAAAAAAAAAAAAAACAACAATAATATGGTGGTGGGAGACATGTTAGAAATACACAAAACAATACATGTAATCTAACCTTATAGTGGAAGCATATGATCAAGTATCTCCAGCCATAGTTGTAATCTTCGTTGCATTGTTTGAAGAACAGTAAAGAATTTTAGGATTTTGTCTACCACTTGGTCTCCTGTACAACTAGATGGTGTAGTGTCAAGTCACAGGAGCAGTGGGAGGACCATACACATATATATAACATACGTGTCATCATTATAGGTTAAATAACGGAAACCGTTACTTCTGTTTCAAACCACAACATTATGGTCATAAATGGCCTATTAACTTGCACCACTTAATGGTGACATAATGGAAATGTTACATTCTCCCACTTGGTGCAAGTATTAACTCAAAGAAGCAAAAAACATGAACCATAGAGATATTTCCTCTTAATGAGAGTAGTATCCACTTATGATTACAATGTAACTTCTTCTCTAAGTACCTTATGTGGTATAAAACTTAATGAATAAACCTTATGTTCATTCTTGATTATAATTAGTTATCAAAAACTAATTATTGCCGCAATGGCTAAATTTGACCTAATAAACTTGCACAACTTCATTTGTACAATATTAATGGAAAATGTTACAATTTTCCACTTGGTATAAGTATTGACACAACCTTTGTTGAAGATAAAAAAAACATGAATCATAGTGGTATGTCCTCTAAATTAAAAGGTGAGTAATACCATCTGTGCATCACATGCATTTTGATTCTCAACTCAAGTCCTTTATGAATAAACCCTACGTTCACTCTTGGTCCAACCTTATGGATGTTTCTCAAATAAATATGCGCATAACCATAGGAGAAACCATCCAAATTACATAGAGGTGACAACATAATGTACGTATAATATTAGTCACATAATAAGTTCCATGTACCCTCTATGATCCCTAAAATTCTTATAAGCATGCCTTAAGTAGAGATTTGAAACTATTAGCAAAAATGCTAATATATTACACGACTAACTCATTATCTTTAATATTATCGCTGACAGCTAAGTTTTCAGAGTTGACACGTCTGTCACTCCTACTCTCATTAATCTTAGCCAAAGATAATAATTGAGTAGTCCATATTCCAACGACTTAGATAATAAATTCATGAGTCTAAGCCCACAAACGCAACTTTAAACATACACCTTATAAATGATCTCCAAAAAAAAAAGAAGGAAGCCCAACTTTCATAGGATTTATTAATGTAACTTTATGAAACAACAAAAATATTGTACCATCATAAAAACAAAAAATCCTCAAGATTCATCTATATGAACCAACATCATGAGTCTTTGCATGTTTTATGTCTCTCAACATTGAATCTTGAACCTTTTAAATCTTAATGGCCCAGGATCAATTTGATGAGACGAAAGACTCCAATAAATGCTAAAGAATCTAACTCGTGATTGTTCACCATAAACTTAATGTCATTGTTATAATAAAAACTATTAATGTTGTTACAACATTTTCAGAAATATGTTGCACAACTTGTAGTTCAACAATTTGAACTATTGATTTTATAATAACAAGGTAAGGTGTCTTATCCTTGAAGTGGAGTAATCTTGAGGTGGGACATCTTTTAATGATCTTTCCAAATGATTACTCCCACTGATCAAACGGGGTATCTTTATTGGATCTTTTTCAAATGATCACTCCACTGATCAAACCATTACTCCCACTAATAAAGTTATTCTTGAGCATAAATGATATACACACTAATGATCCTCAAGTCCAACTAATTTAACAAGGATTATAATTCCCTACCATAGTTGGACATGTTAAATATGTACATGTGTTACACAATTTCCAACTACTTAAACAAATTAAATTGCTTTAGTTGAAATTTGGCTAGATATGTACAATTCCAATTGTTGTAGTTGAAATTTGGCTATGGGGTTACAGAGAGAGGAGATCTTGAGAGGTTGATGAAAAGAACATCCCTTATTATTTCTAATATTTGTCATTCTCTTTCATTTTGTTTATGAGGTGCCATTTTATATTTCTTTAGGAGTCCCTGTTTTTCCTCTTCAAAAGGTAGGTAGCTTTATGCCTTGTTTTTATGCAATATCAATTTTTGTTGTCTTCCTTTTACAGTATTGAGAAAGATGATGTTGTCCAGTACCAGCGAAGACTAGAATCATCTTCAAATGCAGCTGGGCCTTCATTGAGGAACATGATGTTCCGGTCTTCCACTTCTATTGACAGAAATTTGTGGTACCATGTTGAAATTTGAAGGTTTATAACATTTTTTCCCCAGAGACTTGGCAGAGTGAAATCTTATTAGACCTAATTCTTTTTACCAGTTCATCACATAGTGAACCGAATATTACTACAAGATTTTGGAGGAGGGGTTGGAGCAAGGTTATCACTGAACCAAGAACTGCAAGTTCTAGGTTTGTTTTTATATCAAGAATTCTTACTAAAAAGATGCTTGTTACTCTATCTTCTAATGACATCTTCAACTTGGAGCCTTTGTATTGCCTGCTTTTGTTTTGTGATTATGGCTATGAAACTTGTATGATATGGATTATAACTTGACTTAACATCTTATTTGTCTCAAGTGGTCACCAATTCTTTAACTGACAGAAAACTTGGCAAGATCAAAATATAAGCTTATGTTAATGTTAATTGGGGATAAGTGATAAACATTCCTATGTTGGGGCACCACAACGAATGTTGACAATTGTATCTTAATATTCCCTTTTTTTTTTTTTTTTTTAAGAGAAGAGATTCATATATTGAATTGGATTTTGTTATTAAAGGATAAATCTATATATTGTGTGAATATTAAGAAAAGGTTCAGCTATGAAAGACTTTCTTTTCAAAGAATTATGTGCATTAAGATGTTTGTAGAGGATTTGGTTCTTTTTGTGCATGCAAGTGTGCTTGATTTATTTAAGTTGCATTATATCTTGAGGTTAAATTGTGGATAGGCGTACATAAGGATTTAAATTAATCTATTATGTTAATTTTATTTTTCAATAAAGAGAGATTAAAGGCTTGAATGTCTTGTAGTTGAAATTATATTTTTGATTATGTTGAGTTTATATTATATTATGGATTGTTTTGATTGAATTATAAATATTAGTGTAAGATTAAATGATTATTTGTGGATGATTAAATTTGATTATGTTGAATATTTCTGGAATTTATGGTAGCTTTATGGTAGCAGGAAGGAAAAATTAATAAAAATAATTTTTAAAAAAAAAAATAAGGACAATAGGCTTCTCTTCTACACGAGAACGCCTATTGTCCTTATTTTTCCTTTCATAAAGAACAATAGGCGTCTGTTGTAGTTGAGGAACAGACGCCTATTTACTTCCAACAACAGACGCAGTATGCACTGTTTTGTACTAGTGATATATCATGTCTAAATTCAAAATCTCTACTGTGGTTGGGCTGAAAAACCAAGTAAGCCACATACAGTAACAATTTCAAGTTATTAAAGTTTTGGAGGTTAACAAAATACATGTGTTGCCAATGCAATCCATGTGACATAATATATAGAATTATAACTAGCCTTAAGGTTATAAATTCTAAAATTGGTATGATAAAATTTTATCTTGATCATCAATTTAAACAGGAAAATTCAGTGACATAAAAGTTGCCTGTTGGCTAAAGATTTATTCAATTAGACTCAAACTGAGACTTTATGATAATCAAATAGAAGAATCTAGTGACACAAAACTTGTCTGTGGACTAAAGTTTTGTTCAATTAGACTCAACTAAAACTTTATGATAAAATTATTATCAAAGGGGATAGAAGAATCTAGTGACATAAAACTTGCTTGTGGGTTAAAGTTTTATTCAATTAGATCCATCTACAACTTTATGATAAAACTGTCAAACCATGTTCCTTTTCTTAATCCTTGTGGGTAAATTAAGAAATATGATTTAATATTTTATCTTGACTATTTACATTAATATAATAAAATTTATGTGGGTAGATTTTATTATACTTTATGTAATTAGTCACAAAGTGATCAAAATAACTTAATGATTTCAGTTATGAAATTGTATTGATCACTTGATATTTGTACACAAAAGAATATTAATGTACTAAGCTATTAATCTAATTTAAATTTTCATGCATAATAAATACACATAAAAGAAATCAGACTAATACCTTAAAATGTACACATAAAAATACATTTGAATATGTACATATATCATAACTTTATGATAGAAGACGTCAATTTATTTATATTATAACCATATGTTAAATAAATTGACATTCCTATCTGTAATGATAAAACTCACCAAAACTATATTCCGATGCATAATTGCCTGTGGGCTAAATTATGATCATACTTTGGTGTTTTTACCCTAATTAATTATATAAACATAACAAAATTACATGTGGGCTAAATTTTATTATATCATATAATTAATCACAATCAATACGTCTATGACTGTATGTGATCTCACAAAATTTCAATTAATCAAAGATACCGTGGCTACTACTTAATTAATCAAAATTATAAGATCACTAGACAATTTTCTTAATATCTTAGGCATCAACTTTAAAGCCTAAAAACAATTATGCAACAATATGATAAACAATTCCAAGTATACTCCCAGGAAAGTTGGTTGGGACGGCTAAATTGCATAATTTAAACAATAATATTATGCACTTAATTTAATTATATACATAAAACAAACTTAAAAAATATTAATATAAAATCAAATATTCATACTTAATCAAAGTGGGCATCACAATCCAAAAACAATAATGATAATATAACAATGTCACGACATATTAATTCCTCAGTTCAAAAACGATAATCGTTATTACTTTAATAACAATTACGTGACAGTAATAACTGAACAATCAATTTTCTCAATCGTAACCTCAGTTCTGACATTTAATAGTAATGACTATAAAATGATATTATCATTATTAACACATATATGTTTTGGATCAAGAATGAAATGGTTTCAAAATTATGATTACAAATCATATTATCAAAATCCAAAACAAATAATGATAGTAACGACACAAAGCATTGATCCATCGGTTCAAAAACCAATAATCGTTATTACTATAATAATTCTAATAATTATTACATAACAGTAATAACGGATTAATCAATTCTCTTAATTGTAACCGATCAACATTTAATTATAATAATGATATCATTATTATTAAATGTTACATAATATCATAATTATTACTATATAAAAGTTTTGGACAAGCAAATTCAAATGAATTTCAAAATATGATTCTTAACATCGTAATCAAAAAAAAATTATGGCAAGACTGAAATAGAAAATAATATCCAATAGCCATAAACATATGCATTTTCCAAATTGTGATACAAAATCACAAACCATAGTTAAGGATATTATCAAATTATGACAAAATTACAAAATTCAAAAATTGCAATTAATAGCTATTATATTAAAATAATTAGGTGATTTAACATGGAAAATCAATTGCTGAAACTGCTATTTTAAAACATTTTCGGAAACCTTTTAAAACTTAATACACTCATGATAGGTCCCAAATAGCTTGTTCAAAAAAGGTTTTAAAGTCCCAAGTGAAATTAGGACTAAAAAATGTTCAAAATTGAATGAGAAACCAAACAAGCTTTCTAAATAGGCTATAAAATCCAAAATTAGCCTAAGGATCCAAAATTGAATACAAAAGACTATGAGTTAATAATATGTTATATCCAATCTTAATATGCTTTTCTAAATGTACAATTATAACAAAATAATTTATGAATATACAAAGCATGCTTGAATTTTGCATATTAACATAATATTAACTCATAAATCCTAAAAAATTGCAATAATTCAGGCAATTTAATATGCACATCAATATATTAAATTAAAATTCATGTAGCAAATTCAATGCTTAATATTTGCTCAAAAAAATGATAATTTAATTGTGACTATAATGCCAAAATTGAGAGAAAACTAAAAGACATTAATACAACTCCCAATATGAAATTAAAATTCAAATAGCAAAACAAAACTTAATATTTGCTCAAAAAAATGAATAATAATTTAATTATGACATGAATTATTGTAATTGAACTAATAACGGCAAGAATTCAATCACAAATAATACCACAATTAATCTGATCTCAATTTAAAATTTTTAATGCCAAAATTAAAGAATAACTAAAGAGCATCATTATTTCAAAACAAGCAATTACTTAATATTTACCATTTGCCAACATCATTTACAATATTAATTAAGGTAATATTAATATGAAAATATTATCCAAATAATCATCATTTACCAAAATTAACATATATATATAAATATTAAATATAAAGCAAATAAAATATATGGTAAATAAAATCAATTTCTCTTTAAATGGGAAATAAATCACGTACCAGAAACGCATCCATCATCTTCAATTTATGGCCGAAAAATCAGCTGAAGCAGGGAAGCCACTGGAGTCCGAATTCGCCGTCCTCGACCCGAACACAGCAACGCCGGCTTTCCAGGTTCGCCAACATCGCCCAAGAAGCAGGGATGCCACAGCGACTGTTTCGCCGGGAAACCAAGCCCGCCTCCGCCGGACCATCACGCTGCAACGCTAGTCCGGTGATGCCCTGGTTCGCCGACGCTGCCATCTTTTTCCTTGCGCCGTCCAAACCCACTGGACCAACAAACCGGACGTTGGTCTCGTCTTCTCCGTTGCTATTGCCAACCAAAAAAAAAAACACAACCCTGTACGCAGTTTCTGGATGGTGATCATGTTAGATATACAATAGTCTAACTATAATAAACCATAGTATACGAGAAACGTGACCTCGTATGATAGCGAAAGCGTAGCCATGTAGATCTCCGGCCATAGTTGATGTTCCTGTTGTGTTACCTCTTAACGGTAGACCGTTAGCCATGTTTTGCCTCAGACCTGACTCAGAACCCTAGATGGTTTATTGGTATCTACTGAGCAGTCTGAGTACCGTAACTGAATGTGCTATCTAAACCATAATCCTATATCCCATCAATCCAGGTTTATATTAGGCACAAAGTTTGGTTGACTAACAACTACTAGTTATTAAGTCCAACCAGAGCACTTAATAAGCCTAGTCAACTTGCACGACTTAATTAAGGCCCTAATATATAATATATAATATATAATATATAATATATCATATATAATATATATTATTAGGGAAAATCTTACATTCTCCCACTTGGTGCAAGTACTAGCACAACCTTCATCAAAGAACAAAACACACGAATCATAGTGATATGTCCACTATTTAATCAGAGTAGTATCCATTATGGTCACATGCATTTTAATTCTCCAACTTAGGTCCTTAATGAACAAACCCTATGTTTATTCTCGCTACCTTAAGGGATGTTTCTCAAAATACATATGTGCACAACTGAAGGAGAAAACACATCCAAATTGTACAAAAGAGTACACTGTATGATCTCTAAAACTTTATAAGCATGCCTTAAGTAGAGATCTCTTAGGGGGCGTTTGGTTCGGGTTATATAGGATAACCAAGGGAATGTGACATTTAGAGCCGTCAAAAATGGGTTTTACCCGCCGGTCGACCCGTCTCGTACCGCCGTAGGTAGGGGACGAGTTCTTCAAATTTTGATCCGCTAGGAGGCGGGCTTTTTAGCCCGTCCCGCCTGGGTCACGGGTCCAGGCGGGGCGGGTCAGGCGGGT